ACGGAGACGACAGGCGGAATCCGGGCCACTGTTTCACTAACCCGATTATTCAATGCCCTCGCCGGTCGCTGCCGCCTGTTCACTTGAGCGGTTCGTTGCGCCTCCTTGTCGCGCCGTACAACAGGGCAACTTGGATTAAGCGTAATTAACTTTCCCGGGATGCGGGGCGACCGGCGAGGACAAGATGATCCGTGACTACCGACTGGGTTAGCGATGCACGTGAGGGCAGCCGTCAGTCCGTCACTCCTCGTTGATGGCACTAACAATAAAGTCCGTTTATTTTTTTTTATCCCAGATCGCAGTAAATAAAATCCACCATGTCAGAATTTGGACATGAACAGGAATTTTTTTTTACTGTTTTTACTGATGGAGGGTATCCCAGATAGCTGTTCATGATTTGGATTCGGTCAGGATTTGGACATGCATTGCTGCTGTCCTGTCGTGTCAGTTCGGCGACTCGAGGCGGATCGTCGGCCGCCGGGATTGACACGTACGGCTACAATGGCTACTAGACCGACCCCTAGCACTGGCCATTGTTTAATTAACTTTTCAAAAAGTACAGGCGGGGCCGTTTAGTAGCCGTTACAGCCGGAAACCGACGGGTATCCACCATCAGTGTCCATCGCTGGGCACGACTAAAATATGTGGGTGCGATTACACTTTAACAAACACGCCACTTGACGATGATAGCCAATCACACTGCACCGTACCGTACAGCGCCAAGCGGATGCACGCCAAGAGCTAAAAAAAAGCTTCGTCACCTTTCCTCTCTGGCGTGGATCCGACGGTCTAGCCTCTAGCGTCGTGCGCCTTGCTGCATTGCTGGTTCTGGTTGGAATATGATGCTCTTCGACGGTAGGTATTCGAGTGCCCTTTTCTTCTTCTTCTTCTATGTCTGTCTTGCTGGGATTGCCGGTAGGAAAGGAAGTGTTATTCTGCATGGCGCGGACGGAAAAGTATAGAGGGAGGAAAATCCACGTGCTGTTCGCCCGCTCGCGTGCAGTCGTGCACGGCGACGACGGTCACGACACACGGGCGGAACGGATGCCATGTCCATGCGCAGGTTCTCAGAGATGACGTGACGTGAACTGGAACTGCGCCCCCGGTGAATTTTAGAGTACGCTGGAATCGGGGGGATAAAAGGCTCACGAGGTGGTAGGAGGTAGTACGCGATCATTCCGTGACCCCATCCATTTTGTCCATTGGCCTGTGCCAACGCCACCAACATTGCCGGAAATCGAAAGCCGAACGGAAACCGGGGCGTCGTTCCTACTCATCACTCGCTCGGGAGTCGGGACCTGTTGAATTGAATCCATCGTATTTTCACACGCCTCCTTATGCCTAGGCCCACAGTGGCCCCCGGCACAGGTTTTGGCAATTGTTCTCGTTTTTTTTTCTTGCATAAAAGAAGGGAAGTGCCGGCGCCGGACGTCCGATGGATACGGATCCATCGGACGGTTCCGTGGACGCACTCCCCCAGCGCACGCTCCTCCTTTCCGGTTCCGCACCGCACGCTACCAGCACACCCTCCGCGACGCGCGCAAGGAGCGGACCCGCCCTGAGATCGCGCACTCGCGCGAACTGCCGCTGCTGCGTCTTCGTCGAACGAAGAGCCCCGCTAACACCGACGAACCCGCGCCCCGTGATGCCTACGAAGAGCTCTGCTAGCCTCTGTGCCGCGCGAGTCCGCACGCCCCCAGATCGCCCCGCAGCCCGTCACGTCCGCCCCATGGCCACGACGAGCATGTTGCATTCCCAGCGCCCCCACGGCCACAGCACCCGCGTCCGCCGCCCAACACCTCCGCCCGCTAGGCCCCGGCGAACCACGCGCCCCCGTCCACCCCGGCTCGCCTCTCCCCGGCCGAACAACATAGAAAGATGGAATAAAACACGTGCAACAACACGGAAACAACTGCTGCAACATTAGGCTGAAGCAGCTGAAACACCATGAACATATATATTGCAACAACAAAGGAACAACAACTGCAACATTAGGACGAAGCAGTTGAAACACTATGAACATTTTATTGCAACAATAAAGGAACAACAGCTGAAATATTAGACTGAAGCAGCTGAAACACCATGAACATATTATTGCAACAACATGGAACAAACTGCTGCAATAATAGGTTGAAGGAACTGAAACATTTGGAACATATTATTGCAACAACACCAAACAAACTGCTGCGACAAATAGGATGAAGGAGCTGAAACATTTGGAACATATTATTGCAACACTGGTGTGAATCATATGAAACAACGCTCGAAATAAAAACACCTGCAACAACATGGAACAACTACTGCAACATGAGATTGAAGCAACTGAAACATACTGCAACATCTCAAGCAGTACTACTGCAACATCGCAAAAAAACATTTGTTGCAACAAAAAAAACCCATTGCAACATTCAAAATCATCTATTGCAACATAAAAAAACCCATTACAACACAGCGAGATCTGACCCCCGAGAGCTCGCCGGAACCCTAGCCACCGCCGCATCCCTTAGATCCAGAGGAGGAGGAGGAGGAGGAGGAGGGCTCAGATCCAGAGGAGGAGGAGGGAGGAGGGCTCAAATCTAGATCCAGAGGAGGAGGAGCAAGGCCTCAGATCCAGATCCCTCCGCGACCTACCTCGTCGGAGCTGTCGTCGTTGTCCTCGTCTCCGGTGGGGTGCGGGAGCCGGGTCACAGGGAGAGTGGGGGTGCATGGAGATCGTGGAGGGCGAGGGACGGAGGGAGAAGGGAGCACGGGTGGGCGGGCGCGTAGCGAGCTCGCGTGCGGAGAGAGGGACGGAGGTCGCGGAGGAGCGAGGGACGGAGGGACGAAGGGAGGGAGGGAGCTCGCGCGGTGACGGTGCGAAGAGCGGGCAGGAAAGGGGCGCGGAGAGCGAGTGCGGGTGAGAACGACTGCGGGGCAGCGGGCGGAGCGGGTGAAGTGCGAGTGCGGGGGGAGCGGGTGAAGTGAAGCGGCGTCAGGCAGACGAATAAGACGAGGCACGTCGGACGTACGCGTCATAGCATTTCCCATGAAAAGAACAGCCACACATGCACTCCATAAGAATGCACATATGCACGTGATAGCCTACAAACATCGATGTGTCTGAACTCCTGATAGATCTCTATAGGAACTGTTTTAGGGACAATCGCACCAAAAGAATATAGCCGTATAAGTAAGACACAGGACGTTAAGACTGGGGTATAATCCTCTCCTATGGCTATTGATATGTACAACTACCTTCACTAATCAACATCTAATTTTTTTCTTGTTTCTTGGATTATTTGCTCTCTTTCTTAGGCCTTCTGTATTTGTATGAATAAATTGGTTCACTATTTGGTGAGTTAGATGGCATGAGAATTTGACAAGGTCATTTATATTTACGAGCAAATATATATGTGCATTGTAATCTAAAAATATATATTTGTAAATGCGCTGTGTTCGAAATAAGACCTCATGTTGGATCTGAATTGGGAACGTGTGGATGGCAAGAGTGAGATGTGACGGGAATTGGAAACTTAAAGGGCTGTTTGACACAGTTGTAAAGACCTTGAGCCTACACATTGTATAATAAAACATATTTATTTAACACAGACATGATTAATCTAAAATAATAAGTTTTTTTCACTAAATAACATCAATGTGGCCATTCCTGTGGCTCAAAAATAGTACTCCATCCGTAAAAAAAAACACAATTCTAGATTTAAATTTGGACAATAGTAAGCCGTTAGTAGTCAGAAAATTCTTGCCCTTTAGACTTTTTTTTCAACCTAAAATCCCATTAGCTGCTCCGTACAGCTGCTGTCGCCAGCACTGCTCATTCCCAGCGGCGAGCCGATGGACACTGGCGCTGTCAGCGGCAGCAGCGGTGAATTCAAAAGCGGCTCGTTTCGGTGGGGGCTTGTCCTTTTTCCTGCCTGCCCCACAGCCCCTGCGGCCCTGCCCCGAGTGCCCAGCTGTTCCGCTCGCCTCGCCTGCGCGCACTCAACACAGATGCTCCCCCTCGCCGCAGTCCCGCCGCATTACACGCCCCACTTTGTCCCCTTTTCCGGCGCCCGCGACGGACTGCGACGAGCGGCTAGATAGATCTGTGCAGCTGTGCTGTGCGTGACGACCCAGCTCTCTATCTATCCCCGTCCCTGTCTCGCCATCCTCCTTTCTCCTCTTCCTCCTCCACTCCCCACCGAGCAGAGCGAATCCTTAGCGGGCAAGTCTTTCCGAGTTTGCGGAGTGGGGTTTAAAACGCGGCCTGAGAAAAGGAGGACCGCACTCGCTGCTGCTGGTCGCTTGCTTTCGGTGGCGAGCGTCTCGGTAAAGCGGCGTCGGCGTCGGAGGCGGCGGCAGAGACTGGACTTGCTTGCTGCGCAGTGCAGTGCAGTGCTGCCTTGGAGACAGGATCCTGCTGCAGGTATCAGGGCTTCTTCTTCTTCGCTTTTCTTCTTTCTGGATTCTGGAGGTTGTTTGGCGTCCCTGGTTTTTCCGGCCTACTTCTTCTCTCGTCCCCGCTTTGCATTCCCACCTGTGTGCTCTCTTCCATGCGAAGAAGATGTTAAAGCGTTAAGCGAATTTTTGTTTTTTAGAAAGATATGTTAAGCGAACTTCAAGTGATGCTTTCACACACAGGCGAGAAGAGATGCCTGAAAACAATTGCAGTATAAGAAGCGTCGTGATTTCTTTAAAACGCGTAACCGCAAGAAGCGAGAGTTAATTTTTTTCCCTCCAGAAGATGTTGTGAGTTTGATACTGAATTTTGGTCCTTTTTCTTTTTTTGCGTTCCGAGAATCTTCCCGCATCAGCATTGTTTACTTTCTCGTGCGCCTCTCGTTCCTTTGTCCCCTGCATTATACTGTTCCCTCCTTTTTTTGTTGACCCCAGGCTGTAATCCTCAGGGACTCATAATTGATCAGTGTGTCCAAAGATCAGAGAGGAACGTGACTGAGTTTGCCACCTTCATCCACTGTAGTCACTCGTCTGCTAATGCCCGCATTGGAGGATTGCTCACGGATATGCTTCTGGTGATGGGCAACCCGGGGCGCTCGCGGCAGCTGTCAGCCCTGATTGCTTCCGCCGCCATCTTGCTGTTACTCTCTGCGTTGCCGATTTGTCGGCCCTACACCTACGAGCAAGATGGTATGCAACATCCTTTTTTTTTATTTGCTGCCACTATTTTTCAAGATTCAATATTCGTCAGGTGGTCAGGGTACATCACACACATCGCTATGGGTTCGAAAGATCACGCAGGGTCGCAGATTGAGATTGTGTGTTTTATGCTTACAATGATATGAAAATGGGTTAATTTACTGACTCGCTACGATTTCCATGTTATGTGTTTTCTTATGCTTGTCAGTGTTTGCGATAAATGGCTTGTACACGGCACTTGGAGCACCACAGCTGCCTAATTGGACTTCAAATGGTGGTGACCCCTGCAATGAGAACTGGCAGGGTGTTTCATGTGTAGCGTCAAATATCACCTCCATGTATGATCAGTGCATATGTATTTTTCCTGAAGTATTTCAACTCAGTGAGTCCTTTTGGTTAACTGAACAATGTAGCATGTTCTTCTTGTAGAGTACTCAGCGGTGCAAATTTGGGTGAACAGCTGGGCAACACTTTGGGGAATTTCACATCATTAATCACCTTGTAAGCTGACAATATGTAGAGTTTGTGATGCCAGTCTGTTTGGGTTCAGAATTCGTGACATTCTATCAAGTTGGCACTTAACGCTTCCTGATTTACCTCATTTAGGGATCTCAGCAACAATAATATCGGCGGGACCATACCAGATGGTCTACCACTCACAATGCAGAGATTGTATGTCTACTCGAGCATTCTATTGCTCTTTCCATCCACTTGCATGATTATTTTCTTACTACAAGACCTTTCTGTCAATCACAGTTTCCTTTCAGCTAACCAGCTAAGTGGTAGCCTTCCAAGTACATTGTCGTCCCTTACACACTTGACAAGCATGTAAGTATATTACTGCCAATACAAATTCACAGGCCTTTAGAAAATTAGAACTTGCTAGTTGCTATGATAGTTTCTCAATCTGTCCCTCCTATGTTCTTTCATTTTGCAGGTCACTCAATAGCAATCATTTGACTGGAGCGATACCAGATGTATTTTCAGCACTCACTGGACTTGCAAATTTGTAAGAGCACTCTAACTTGGATAACAATGTTATTCTACAGATAATTTAAAGCTACTTATCAATGACAATCAATCTTCTTAATTAGAGATTTTTCTGACAACAACTTGACTGGTCCGTTGCCACCTTCAATGGGAAATTTGACAGCATTGACTAGCCTGTGAGTACTGAAAGCCTATTGCACTATCATTTGTGATGGACTTTTCACTATGTTTAATTACCTCATTTTCTACAATCATTGCAGACATATTCAGAACAATCAAATATCCGGAACCCTTAATGTGTTGCAAGATCTCCCTTTCCAAGATTTGTATGCCCACTCCATTATAGATTCTCTGTTTTTTCTTTTCCTGAAGGGTAAATGAATTGGGGAAATGAAATTTCTGCCTTATTTCATGACAACTGTTTAATTCAACAGGAACATTGAAAACAATCTTTTCTCTGGTCCCGTGCCTGTGAAATTACTGAACTTGCCAAACTTCAAGTAAGAGCTCAGAACCTCCTTGATTGGCCCTTTTTTTGGCGGGGGTGCACAGTGCTCATATAATTTAATTTACTGCCCAGGAAGGATGGGAACCCATTCAATACCAGCATAGCTCCATCTGCGCAGCCTCCCTTGGCGCCAACACCATTACCATCAGTCCCACCTTCAACAGGGCATGTCCCCTCAAAAGAACCTGCACATTCTTCTAGTGTTCCAGGTGGAAGTACTTCAGGATCAGGAAAAAATACTACACTCAAATTAGCTGGATATATTCTTATTGGGGTGGTATTAGCAGTAGTTCTTGTGCTAATTGCAATGTACTGTTTATCTAAGTACAAAGAAAAAAAATCGAGAGGTGATATTTATATGAAAAACAAGATAGGAAGGGTACCTCAGAAGCTTGGAGAGACTAAAATCAAGGAAGTGGTAGAAATGAAGGAGTCACCATTAAAACTCAAGAATAATGCTGAGAAAGGTTCCAATTCTTTCTCTTGACACTATTCTGTCATATCTCTTTCTCTCTGATTTTCCCCTCTTACCTTTAACATCTTCAATATTTTTAGCAGCTTCGAATGTTGTTTCTGATGAAAGAGAGGAGCAGAAGTTAAAAATGCCAACGTCAGGTGACTGACTTGAACCCTAAGAAAATGCACACAATTGTAACTATTATTATTTTATTTCGGTGCAAGTTTGAATACAGGAGAATTAACAGATATACTGGCATATGAGGCCCCACATTTCCTCAATCTGTTTACATTTAAAGAATGCTTTGTGCAGAAACTTCAAATGTGGTTTATGATCCAAGTCGAAGGGATGGGCAGAACTTAGATTCGTCAATGGCAGGTAAATGAGTTGAAATTCAGTTGCATCAGAACCCAGAATTATTATTCCAGTGCACTGCAAATTTTAGCATACGGAAGTTAACACAAACAATCACATGGCAGCTGTACCTGGGGTTGTTACAATGAATAAAAAAGAGCACGTGATTGATATGGAAAAGGTTGATAATTTTGTTGAGGACCAACTGCATCCCCCGCAGCCGATTGCACCGCGGACTGAAAAAGTCATTGTCAAACCAAGTGTTCGTACAAGAAAGGGAAGAGTACCTTCAGTTGAAAAGGTGGAATCGACGACTACTGTCAAGTCCTTCTCCATTGCATCCCTCCAACAATATACCAATAGTTTCAGTGAGGAAAATATCATAAGAGACAGCAGGTTTGGTAAGGTATATCTGGCAAAGCTTCCTGATGGAGAGGTAAATGGTTCAGCAAAACTTCAAGTAATTGTTATCTTCAAGTTTGGGTTCATGATACAGTTATCAGCTCTGAAATTATGTATTCATTTTTTAAGCAGCTACTGGAAATTTTGAAGATCGACACTTCTAACTCAAAACTGCCAGTAGATGCCTTTCTTGAGCTAGTTGTGAGGATTTCTGAACTGAGGCATCCTAACATACTTGGTCTTGTTGGATACTGTGCGGAGTTTGAGCAGCGATTACTTGTCTATGAGTACTGTAGCAAGATGACCCTACATGATGAACTTCGTCATGTAGATGACTCAAGCAAGCCGTTATCATGGAATGCTCGCCTCCAAGTTGCTGCGGAGGCAGCAAAAGCATTACAGTATGAAGACATAAAATTGCCCCTATCCTATTTTTTTAATTATTATTTGTGTGCTGTGATTTGAAAAGATATCTGAAAATGCTGTGTATATATCTTTTCTTTTTGCAGACATCTTCATGACAGTTGCCAACCACCAGTTGTACATCAAAATTTTGAACCATCTGTTGTTCTTCTCAACAGCACCTTAGTTGTGCATATTTCTGAATGTGGCCTTGCATCATTAGCATCAAAATCAGTTTCTCAGGTAAAATAATGCTAATCACAATATTTTGATATTAGATTCTCTCTTACCTATTAAGGATGCTTGTAACTAAAGGTGGTGCTATTTCTATTTTGCCAATCCCGAGCTATCTATTGTATCTTTGTTTGTTAGTTCAGTCTCTTGAAAACGGGTTTGTATTGGACTATTGGCCACATTTATATACCGAGCTGCAAAATCGTATGATTGTGGACAATTCATTTGTACTTCAACACATTTGTTAAGACAAATATGAACCTAAACATAACTAAAACATGCATTATGCCATGATGTTTTTTTGGCCTGTAACAGTTTTCTATTGCATCTGTACCTGCCACCTCATGCTTGTTTTCTCCTTCCATTTTGTAACCATATGTGATTTTAGTGGGCTATCTTTTTCTTTATATTTTGATGCTTTAAAATTAAAGTTCCATATACAATGCTATTCTTTGAGTTTTGGTTATGAACTTATTATATATTGCTCTCATTAAAACTTGCCAATTCGTTTCAAAGTAGTGAATAGTAGAATCCATGTTTGATGAGAAGGGAGGGAATGCTATTATTCCATCTTCTTATAAACCTTTATTTTACTTTGCATGACAGTTGTCCGGACGCACCTTATTCCATTATGAAGCACCTGAAGTGCATGAATCTGGATCAGTAAGTGATCGAAGTGATGTTTACAGCTTCGGTGTTGTTATGTTGGAGCTTCTAACAGGGCGTAAACCTTACGACAGGTAACATTAGAAATAAAGAACACAAATCCATTTTTTTACACTCATCTGGCACATTTATTTTTCTTGAAGATGATTTCTGAGTTCTGACCTAAGGAATCTAACAACTTCACATGGAATGGAATTTGCAGTTCACGTCCACGAGCTGAACAACATCTAGTGCGATGGGCCACTTCTCAACTCTATGATATTGATGCCATAGCGAAGATGGTTGATCCCTCCATTCGAGGACAATGTTCTGAAAAGGCATTATCCCGTTTCGCTGACATTATTAGCCGCTGCATTCAGGTAAAAACATTTGATCCTACATCTGACATCCTCTTCGCATGAAGGTATGCAGTGTGACTAACCTTAAACTTTATGCAGCATGAACCGGAATTCAGGCCACCAATGTCTGAAGTTGTCCAAGACTTAACTCGCATGGTAAGTAGTGTATCAAGGGCTTCCATGTAGGCGATCTCTTAAGGAAGGGAAAAATGTGGAGAATCGTGCTTAGAAATTAGAATTCAAGAATGCACCTCGTTTTGGAGCTTCTTGCCAGATTCAGTTCTCTCTGGCCATGTTGCAAGACGCCTTTGATGATCATTGATGCGGTAGTAGGATATTTTGGCCAACGCAAGATGGATGGAACACAATGGCAGGATGCAAAGACTGCACCGCGTTTTGTCCATTGTCAGTAATGCTCCTCTGAATCTCTGGTCAATTTATAGTCCAAAGCTATTGTTGTAATTCTGTAGTCTGCACAATACATTTCTCAGTGCCCGGTTCCAGATCACTTGGTGTGATTATGCGTGGTTATCTAGACCATATGTAAATACCAAGACGTCAAACAAATATATTAGAGTTTGCTCGTGTTAAAGGTCACTCCGTGTCGACGATTGATTTCACTCCATGTCTATGAGGCATTATTATCTTTTGCTCCTTTTGTTGAGATGCCGCTGAAAATTTTCTGATCCAATTCATGGTTGTCGGATTTAAAGTCCAATCCTGCAATCCAATTCCAGTCCAGTGCTTTTTCCGACACGGACCCAATCCAGTCCCCATCGGGTCATACGATTCCGAAATCCAATGCACTACTCCACGGTCGCAACGGGAAAAAAAAGTGGAGCGGCGTGGGGCCCCACCACCCAACGTCCCCACGTCACGCACGCTCTCCCGCCCGAGTCCGAGGCACCGCACGAAACCAAACCACGAACCCAGGAATAGGAACCCAGAAATGAAAAATCCATCGCCCACGCGACGCGAGCCAAACCCGAAAAAACAGCAGGCGGGGCAGGGAAACCAGACCACCGGCCCCGAAACCGCGACGACCCGACACCTTGTCCACCTCTCCTCCTGACCTCCCTTTCCGACTCCCCTGCGATCAAGCCGACCAGAGCCGGCAACCGATGGTGGTGGTGGCGGTGGGAGGGGGCGGTGGCGGCGGCTGGGGGACGTGGGAGGAGCTGGTGCTGGGCGGCGCAGTGCTCCGGCATGGGGGCGCCGCGTGGGCCACCGTGGCCGACGAGCTCCGGACCCGCTCCCCGTGCACCTTCTCGCCCGAGGTACAACCCCGCAACATGTCAAACCCTAGGTCGTGTTTACAGCTCAAGACCGACTCGGATACGGATTAGGGCATGGCCCTAGGGCCCCACCGGTGCGGAATAACTGTCTCCAGCTAATATCGAGGCTAGGGTTCCGTGGCCCTACCTCTGCGAATGCTTGATTTTGCAATGTCCGTAGAGCTATGTGATTCAATAAATGCTGAATTTCTGTGGTCGTAGATGGTTGGTTCCTAAGTAGGCTGTGATTGGATTTGATTTACCATGCAATGATTTTGAGTTGAACAATGGGAAGCCCAGTAATAACCATGTAGGCATTAATGAAGTGCGATACAGTAATCAGCAATGCCATGACGATGCACATTGCATGGTTTGTGCACAAATTCCTGCTTACATGTTCTTATAGCCATTGAAATGATGTGCACTATTTGAGTGTTTTCATGTTCACACACGAGGAGCACACTATTAGATCACAGCTATTTTCATAGAAACAAGATAGTTTCCCAGGCAAGCCTTCCTCAACTTGCTTGGGACTAAAAGGCTCTGTTGTTGTTGCTGTATAATTTCCTAGGCATTTTTGGGGTGCTACTACTATGTTGCCTTTTTTCCAACAGTGAAATGTAGTAGAACCTTGAGCCTATCAATGTGCGTTTTTTGTGCAGTTTGTTTTACACATCAAGTTGTTTCTGATTGCATTGCAATTCAACTGTTTTATTATCATCTGGAAGTTATGGCAGACTGATCAAGTACAGTTGTTAATATCTGCAGGAATGTGAAGCAAAATTTGCAGAGATACAGTTGCGGTACTCTGCATGCAAGTAAGTGATACTTGATCGTGTGATGTTCATGCTTTGTACCTTCTTGTCCATTACATGACCTTGCAAATTGGATGAGTGGCATAGAACAACTACTGCATATCATTATATATCTAGAGAAGTTGAAATAATATGAATTTTGAGCCTTTTTTATGAGCTGATTAAGAACTTTGTGAATCTTTAAATATAACAGTCGGGTAGAGTCTTTGCTATTGTGCTAAAAGATAACATGTAAGCAGCATGCTACATTTTGATCTTATTCAACAATACTTCATCTCAAATTATAGCTTACTTTAGCTTTGTGCCTTTGTCCTAAGTCAAACTTGTCAGAAGTTAGCCTAGTGTTCATGTTTTCCAGTTACCTACTATAGCTATTTACTATTCATTGTCATGTATTTTTTCAAGTTCCTTGGCAACCAAGTAGGAATCATAGCATCTGCTTTATGCAGTTAGAATATGCTAAGGAGTAGGTACACCACTTGCTTATATATGCAGTGGTTAGCATCTTTTTGTATCTAAGTTGTTATTGCAATTCAATACAATCCAAGCGGCTATTGGCCAAGTCGCCTCTCCGCAACCCTAGTTCTACTTCTTAGAATTACCCGTGATCTACGCCAACAATTGGTACCAGAGCTCGTGTTGAGAGAAAGGGAGAGGCATGGCCACCTCTGCAGAGAGAGCGATGCTTGGCCGTCCGCCGCCGCCGCAAAGCAACAGGCGCAGCTCTGTCATGTCGGCAGGCGCCGCAGCAGCCAGCAAAGGCCAATGACTCGAACGCGCCGCCACTGCGCGCTTGCTTTCTGCGTCGAGAGTTGGTGGAGGAGGATCCGCCGCGATGATCGCCGCCACCGCTTCCGCGGAGGAGCCCGGAGCGCTTGAGCGCAGTGACGCGATCGCCCGATCGGATCGGGATCGCCGCCACGGACGGGCTGGGGGCGCCGCCGGTGATCCGCATCGTATATAAAGGATTCGCTCGAGCTCCACCGGCCGATGCTCACCAAGTCAAATTACCATGAGTGGGCCTCGATCATGAAGTCGAAGCTCCAGTAGCGCGCAACTCGGGGCCGCGATCGAGTACCGTGACTCTACCGTACCATGAGGACAGGCGCGCGGTGGAGGCGATCATCGCCGCCGTGCCGCAGAGATGCAGATGCCATTGTCCGAGAAGGATCGCCAAGGAGGCTCGACTCCATCGCCGCCGCCATGGATCGGCGTCGATCGGGTCGCGCGCCGCGCCACGCCTCCAGCGACTCAGCGCGACCGGGAGAAGCTTCGCCTTCCGTCTGGGTGAGCGGATCGAGGACTTCACCTTCGCTGATGGCCCTGGCGGCTTTTCTTCTCCCACGGCGACAACGACATCGATGAAGAGCGCCCGGTGGAGAGGCTCCGCAGCCGTCTGCCGCCGCACGCCAGCTCCGGATTGCCATCGAGACGCTTCGACTTCCGTGACCTCACCATCGAGGAGGTGTCTGGGCGTTTGAAGACGGTGGACGACATGGAGGCGCTGGCCGCGGAACCGGCCGCCATCGGCGGTCTGCTGCTGACAAGGGAGCAGTGGCGTGCCAAGGAGAAGGAGGAGGCTGCCGCTTCCGCGTCAGGCAAGGAACCGCGACGTCGTCCACGCGGCGGCAAGAAGCGCCGCAGAAGGGCAATCGCGGCGGAGGAGAGCAGAGGCGGTGGCGATCGATCGCGGGCGGACGACGACACTGCCTCAATCTGTGTGGTGATCGTGGCCACTGGCGCGCTGATCGCCCACCACCGCCGTGGTGGTGGTGGTGACCGCGGCGGTGGCGGTGGCAACCAACGCGGAGGAGGCAACCGCATTGGAGGTGATCGAGGTGCATGGCGCGATGGTGGGCGTGGCGGTGCTGCGCACGTCGCAGAGGCGGAGGACGATGATGGTGCTCTGTTCCTAAAGATGGCAACGGGCACAAAATATCCGTGTGCCCGCGGATAGAAAACCCGATGGGCATGGATATGGGTTTAAGTTTGTGCCCACGGGCACGGGTATGGGTGTGATTCTAAACCCGATGGATATTTGCTCGTGGGCATGGAAAAATGATATCCGCACCCGCAAACCCGCTAGACCCGCGCCAATGACTCTATATACGGTTGTATGTCTTTATTCGTGTTAATTTGTGATGACTTGAGATACACTAATGTAGACTTTTGATGACTCTTGTATGGTCAATGTGTCATACTTTATCTAATGTTGAGATACAGACGTTTATTTTTTTATATATTGTTTCTTACTTGCTATTAAGATATGATTGGGTGCTTTTTTGCTTCATTTTTGCGGGTGTACAGGTGTGCCCGCGGGCATGTGATATCCGCGGATAGCGGGCACGGGCATGGTTTTCTACCCGTGACGGTTAGCGGGCGCGGGCGCGGGCACGGATTTTTGCTCACGGGTATGGATATCTGGGGCTAGTATCCGCGCGAATTTTACCCGTTGCCATCTTTATCTGTTCCTCGCCCACGGCTTCCTCGAGCTCGACGAGAAGGCTGAAGCCGTCTGCTCCAAGGCCACGGCTTCCCTCGACATCAACGAGCAGCAGCTGCTCTTTCCTCAACGCCAAATATAACGAGGAGGCGCTCGACGGTACCGGTACCTCGGCAATGAGGCCCACGCATCACATGACCGACGCCGGAGCTCTTCGCCGAAGCTCGACACCACGCACATGCGACACGCGTGCATTTCGGCGACTTCGTCTCGAGTGGAGATCAAGGGGACCGCTCCATCGTCTTCGTGCCAAGAACGGGGAAGCAAAGACGTCCTCCATGGCGTCTTCTACATTCCAGCCTCGAACTCGATTATGAGTTTGGGGCGGCTCGACGAAGGAGGCTCCAGGGTGGAGATTGAACATGGAGTGCTCCGTATCTTCCGGGACCGGCGTGGTCGCCTTCTCGCCAAGGTACATCATGGGCCCCCGGGCCGGCTATACATCCCCGCACTTGGAGGCCATGGCACGGTGTGTCTTGCCGCCAGAAGAAGGAGGACGAGTCATGGAGGTGGCATGAGCGCTACGGGCATCTCAACTTCCTTGCACCGCACTGCCGCGCAAGATGAGAGATGAGGGGATGCTTGGTGATCAAGCATGCGAGCAAGTTTGCGACACTGCGTCACCACCAAGCTCCGCCGCAAGCCGCTTCCGCAGTTAGGGCGATCTGCAGCGCGCCGCGCCGACCTCGTCCACGGCGACTTGTGCGGGCGGTGACGCCGGCGACGCCAGAGGCGCCGCCACTTCTTGCTGCGATGGTGGACGACGCCACCCGCTTCATGTGGCGGTGCTTCGCCGCCGACCAAGGATGTTCTTTGCGGATGCCGTGAAGCGGGTGAAGGCCGGCGAGAGAAGGAGACCGCCGTGAGCTCAAGGTGCTGCGCGGACCGACAATGGAGGAGAGTTCACCGTCGGCGAAGCCGGGGCAGCGATGCCGCCGCCGAAGAGTCAAGCGGCACTACTCGCGCACCACACTCACCGCAGTGAACGGTGTGGTGGAGCAACCGTCGAGACGGTCGTGGCGACGCGACGCTGCCTCTGAAGCGAAGGTCCCATGCCGCCAAATTTCTGGGGAGGCGGTGATGACGGCGGTGCATCCGCTCAACCACATGCACCGACAAGAAGCTTGCAAGGCAAGACCCCTATGAGGCTGGCACGGACGAAGCGCGGCCATGAAGCTATCTGCGTACATTCGTCCGCAAGGTGCGCCGCCTACACAAGGGAGCTTTCGGGTAGCTGCGCAAAGCTCGACGATCGCAACAAGGTTGGGGTCTCATCGGCTACTACGCCGAGGGCGCGCCAAGGCCTCACCGGGTCCTCGATCCGGCGACGAGATGCGTCAAGGTGAGCCGCGACGTGGTGTTTGATGAAGGGCGCGGTGAGATTGGTCCACTTTGGCCGTACCGGACGCTCGCTTCGCCCTCCAATGACTTCGACATCGAGTTCGGGAGTCGACGCAACGGAGCTCCGCCACAGACGCCGCGTCGTCACCGGCTCGGGGAGCACGATCCACCGGCCTCCTCGCTTCACCAAAGGCGAGACCGAGCAGCGAACGACCAGCTTGAGTTCGCGTCACCGCTCGAGGACGACGACGATCGCCTTGACGCTTTCTACGACGGCGAGCAGCTGCGGTACCGTACCATGCCCAACATCGTCGGGGACGCGCCCACACCGTCGTCGACTTCACGTCTCTTCACCGAGCTTCACCTCATGCACGCCGGCGAGCCAGCCAACTTCGCGGAGGCTGAAGGCGATCCTGCTTGGCAGGCCGCCATGGAGCAGGAGATCAAGGCGGTTGAGCAGAACCGCACGTGGGAGCTTGTGGAGCTTCCTCCCGGTCACCGGCCCATCACTCTGAAGTGGGTCTACAAGCTCAAGAAGGACGAGCGGGGCGCGGTGACCAAGTACAAGGCGCGCTTGGTGCGCGGGGTTTCGTCCAGCAGGAAGGGATCGACTTTGACGACGCGTTTGCTCCCGTGGCGCGCATGGAATCCGTCCGAGTCCTCCTCGCGCTGGCGGCACAAGAAGGATGGCGCGTCCACCACATGGACGTCAAATCGGCCTTCCTCAACGGCGACCTCAAGGAGGAGGTGTACGTGAAGCAGCTGCCTGGCTTCACCGTCGCCGGGAAGGAGAAGTTGGTGTACCGTCTGCGCAAGGCTTTGTATGGCCTACGGCAGGCTCCGCGAGCTTGGAACGCCAAGCTGGACGCCACCCTCAAGGAGATGGGTTTCCAGCAAAGCGACCATGAAGCTGCGATGTACAGGCGAGGAACAGGGGAGGAGCTGCTGCTGATCGCCGTCTATGTTGACGACTTGATCATCACCGGTGCCAGCGCTCAAGCCATAGAAGGTTTCAAGGCTCAGATGAAGAAGGTTTTCGACATGAGCGACCTCGGCCTCCTGTCCTTCTACCTGGGGGTCGAAGTACACCAAGATCCAACTGGGATCACTCTGAGGCAAACCCATTATGCCAAGAGGATCCTTGAGCTAGGAGGTATGGATGCCTGCAACCCTGCCCATACACCAATGGAGGAGCGGCTGAGGTTGAGCAGGCAGAGCACGGCTGCATAAGTTGATCCCACCCAATACAGAAGATTGGTGGGCAGCTTGCGCTACTTGGTCCACACAAGACCTGACTTAGCCTTCTCAGTAGGCTTTGTCAGTCGATTCATGGAGAGGCCGACTGTAGAACACCAAGCTGCCATCAAGCGCATCCTGAGATATGTGGCTGGTACTCTGGAGTTTGGCCTGCACTACACTAAGGCTCGAGGGAGAGCAAGGTTTGTTGGGTACTGCGACAGTGACTTGGCTGGGGACATTGACACCAGCAAGAGCACTAGTGGCACCCTGTTCTTTCTGGGAAGCAATCTTGTGTGTTGGCAGTCAGTGAAGCAGAAGGTGGTGGCTCTATCTAGTTGTGAAGCTGAGTACATTGCCACTACCACAGCTGCAACACAAGCTATTTGGCTATCCAGGCTGCTGGCAGACCTCCTTGGAAGGAATGTGGAAGTGGTTGAACTGAAAGTTGATAGCAAGTTTGCACTTGCTCTAGCCAAGAATCCAGTCTTTCATGAGCGCAGTAAGCACATCAGAATCAAGTATCACTTCATCAGAAACTGCTTGGAAGATGGAAGTATCAGGGCTGATCACATATCCACCACTGATCAGCTGGCTGACATTCTAACCAAGTCTCTTGGAAGATCAAAATTTGAAGAGATGAGGGGAAGAATTGGGCTCAAGCAGATCACTTCCAAGGACCATAAAGGGGAGAATTGTCAGTAGTTAGCCTAGTGTTCATGTTTTCCAGTTACCTATTATAGCTATTTACTATTCACTGTCATGTATTTTTTCAGGTTCCTTGGCAACCAAGTTGATCATGGTGCCTTGGCAACCAAGTAGGAATCATAGCATCTGCTTTATGCAGTTAGAATATGCTAAGGAGTAGGTACACCACTTGCTTATATATGCAGTGGTTAGCATCTTTTTACATCTAAGTTGTTATTGCAATTCAATACAATTCAAACGGCCTGTTGGCCAAGCTGACCTCTGGCAGCCCCAGTTCTACTTGTGCTGAATTACCTGTGATCTGGTGATCTACGCCAACAAAACTTGTCTAACTTTGACCAAGTTTATAGAAAAATACATCAACATCTAGAATAACAAATTATTTTCATTAAATTCTTCATGAAATTTGTCTTGACAATCATTTGATTGAACTTGTAGATGCTAATGTATTTTTCTAAAAACTTGGTCAAAATTAGAGAAGTTTGATGTAGGGCAAAACTAAAGTGAACTATAATATGGAACGTGGGAGTAGTTGCTAATCAGCATGTCTGCTTCTGCACTCAACAATCAGAAATGCCTGCACTTCTTTCTATTCGTAAGTTGGTGATTCACGTTTTTAAATTTGCATCTTACTACTTCACAAGTGTACATAACCAACCGTTTGAAGAATGGATAATATACAAGGAAGAGAATAAAGAGGGAAAATACTAAAACATAGACCACTTAGTGATCAACAACCTCAGCTTTAAGATTGGATTCTCAATCCCATAAGCAATAAGTTGTTTATACAACAATGCAGGCATTGCACTGCCTTTCAGATGTCTGCAGTTGAATAGATAACTCTGATGTGAAGCATTTTATATTTTTCTGAGTTCTGATCATCCTATTTGCTTCAATGCAGTGCTTGGTTTGAAGAGCTTCGTAAGCAGAGAGTTGCTGAACTCAAAAGGGATTTGGAGAAGTCGGAAAATTCTATTGGGTTAGTGACAATTTGTTCACAGAGCATTTTTGAAGTTCAGTTGAGCTATTTATATTTTGTTCTTATTGTTGACTATCCCAGATATAATCTTTGTCGATTGTTTTTCATCCAAGCAAGTCATTGTTTGATACTTTGCCAACTTTTTGGTAATGTGTGATCTTCCTTTTACTCTTCCAGATCCCTCCAATCTGTTATTCAAAGCCTCAGCAATAGCAAACATGTTGATGGGAGTTCTGAATGCCGCACCAGTCATACTGAATCATGTCCGCGCTCCGAAAATACAGCAGATACTAATTCCTCAGGTAAAGAAACGTCCAGGGATAGATCATCAGCTGCTAGTTTCACAGAGGAAGCAAGCAACAGTCAGAAATCTCAGAAAGTGCAGCAGTGTGATACTGATTCAATTCAAGCTATCAATCCATCACCAGATGAGTCATATCCCCAGGCCCAAGTTGAAAAGGTCGGTCCCAAAGATGGCTTGCTTTGGGGTTCTAGAAAACAAAGAGGAAGGAGAGCTAGAAGGACACTTCTGAAAGGTGGTGATAGTAGTGGGGATGGTGAGCCTACATCTACAGCATGCATACAGAGGGAGGGTTCGTCTGAAGACTGCATGAAGAACTTGAAAACTCCAAATGTAGAATCAGTTGTTATGAAGAAGGGTGTGAAAACTCCAAAGGTAGAATCTGGTGTGATGAATAAGGTTTTGAAAACTCCAAATGTAGGATCTGGTATAATGAAGAAGGGCTTGAAAACTCCCAAAGTAGAATCTGATTTGATGAAGAAGGGCGTGAGAACTCCTAAAGCAGAATCTGATGTTATGAAGAAGGGGTTGAAAATTTCCAAAGTAGAACCTGATGTTATAAAGGACTTGAAAACTCCCAAAGCAGGATCTGATGTTATGAAGAAGGGCTTGAGATCTCCAAAGGCAGAATGTGGCCAGCCTGTGATTGAGAGAGTTAAACTGAAGCTGGCAGAAATTTTGAATACTATATCGACTCAAGATGACTGCAAAATGTTGCAACGCCAACTTGATACCCAGGTATGATGGGTTCACCAAGTTTCATCACTTTTCTATTTTCAGTGCCTCAGTGATGGTCTAAATTATCTGTATATATATACTTCACTGATTAATATAGGAATTGTTGACTATTATGACTCCTTAGGTCATTTGAGAGATGGGATACTTCATGTGGGTGCTAATACTTTTATAACTGCTATTAAAACGGTTCCGCTGTTTTTTTTTCCTGCTAGTTACTCAACTCAGATTTTTGTGGGTTTTTAATTATGGTTATTTTCTTACTAGCTGGCTATAGTTGATTATGTTACTCCCTCCGTTCCAAATTATAAGTCGCTTTGACTTTTTTGGTTCATCCATTTTGCTATGTATCTAGACATTTAGATGCATAGCAAAGTGGATGTACTAAAAAAGTTGAAGTGACTTATAATTTGGAACGGAGGGAGTACTTCTCAAATCGATTGTTCCGTCAAATCATTCTCAAGGTCTGTGAAATAGCATGAACACTTATGGACTGAATTTCATCTGACTCCTTACCTTTTCTTCTATATAGAGGAAAAGAGCTAGATATAAGAAGATGATTCGCCGGCATATGGACTTCCGAATACTTCACTCTAAGGTCAAGAGTGGCGCAATCTCTTGCACCAAGGAGCTCCTGAGAGATATGCTCATTTTCATCAATAATGTAATAGCCTTCTACCCGAAGGCTACATTGGAGCACATGGCTGCGGTTGAGCTTCGTGACTTTGCATGCAAAACAGTGAAGCAGAGTGCAAGCTTGTTCTTGAAAAGCCATGGAGAGACCAGAACAGCTGGTGCCCCTGTAGTAAAGAAGAATGCTCGAGCCCTGCAGCCTGGACGCCCTGGCCCTGGTGATGCAAGGGCAATCAAGGTTTCTTCAAGGGACACTACTGCCAAGGAAGGAGATGGCAAGAGACCTTGCAGTGATGAGCTGGCTAATCAAAAGACTATACAGAGAAATGAGCAAGCCAAGAAGAGAGGTGTGGGTCGGCCTCCAAAGAGTGGGCAGAGGATTGCTGAGGCGCAGGAAGATAGCCCCATCAAAGGCCGGAAAAGGGGTGCTGGGGCACTGGTAGATAGCCCCAGCAAAGGCAGGAAGAGGAGTGCGGCAGCACAGGAGGATAGCCCCAGCAAAGGGGGCAAGAAGAGCCGGCGGTGAAGCTACCATAAGCTCAATGCCGGTGAAACTGTGTACAGCTTAAATATATCATAGGCTGGCCCCTTCCAGTGTTGTTCAACTGACAAAAGTTTTTGCCCCAGTATTCAAACTGACGTAACAGGAAGGGGTTAGCTGTTTTTGATGTTGTTTTGTAAGGAGCAAGGACAGTTAGAAGGGAACCCTCATTTTCCTGTAGAGATTATCCGAATTAGGCTATATATGTCTGACTGTGTAATGCTTACTCCTTCTGTCCGAAAAAAAAAACGCAGTTCTAACTTTGAACCTGGACACGCGACTTAAACCTAGACACGTCACGTGCGCAGGTTCAAAGCTAGAATTGCGTTTTTTCTAGACGGAGGACGTGTTCAGGTTCAAAGCTAGAATTGTGTTTTTTTTAACGGAGGGAGTAATATTGTTATAACATGTGAACTGATCTTGAACACCGACAGTTACCTGTCAGACAGGAAAGACTGCAGGGACTTGAACAGTTGAACAGTTCGGCTCTTGGCAGCGAGAAAGAGAAGTGGCAGTGCTGGGCTGATGCTGGGCCGCTTGCCGTGCGTCACTCTTTTGGCATGCATCCGTTCGTGGGCCGTGCGTCACCGTCGTGCACACGGCACACGCACTAGCGGCGAGGGTGACAGAAGGAACCAACAAACCGAGCGGAAAACCCGGTCGCGGGCGTGGCCGAAACGGCAGCTGCGCCGCCTCCGCCTGCGCGCTCGTCGCCCGAGCGGAGGATGCCGTGTGGGGCGCTCGCTGCGAGCACTGAGGGGGCAGCGCGGGTGGAATTAGGCGAGGCGCCACCCGTCGCGTTTCCTCTAAGGCTCTGACCCGACCGTCGCTGTCGCGCTGTTCCTCTCGGGCTCTTGGCTCTCTGCTCCCTCCCGCGGCCGCCTCCGCCCGTGCCCGTGCCCGTGCCCGTGCCCGTCCCCGTCACAACTTCCACCCAACCTTTCCCAATCCCTCCGGACTCCGGCACTGCGAGACGTTTCGTTAGCCATTGCCCGGCATCGCCGCGACACAATCAGCACCAGCGGTGCCCTCGCTGCCAAGGCGCCCACACGTGTGACGAGTGGCTGGAGGCGCCTCCACGGCTCCACCACCGCCCATTGCGCGCTCAGCTCCGAGGCCTCCCGCCCACCGCGGCATCATCTCCGGCTCCTCCCGCCGCCGCGGTAATTCGTTTTGTTCTCACTCAATCCGATAGTACAAATATCCGCGTGCTACACCTGGTATGTCATGGATTGGTTCTGATCGTGCCTTGGGACTTGGGTGCTCCTACCTGTAATTGGGATTTAGGAAACGATCTCTTGGGAAGCCCTCGTTGTCGCGAGGTGGCTCCCGAGCTGGAAGCCTGGAACTGGAGTCTGGATGGGTGGGTTAATAAAGTGTAGCGTAATTCGGTCGCGGCCGGTGCGTCAGCGTTCCTGCTCCACTCGTCATTGATGCGTTCGTCACACCCCTTTTCTGTCAATTTGCTTCAAGGGGGCACTGCTGCACTCCGACCAACAAAAGCGAGATCACGCATGATGCTTGCACCGGACGTTCATCTATTCGTTCGAGATTTCACCACCTAGTTAGCTCCCTCTCCTTTTCCGTTTTACCAGCAAAAATATGGAGAAAAGAGATGCTAAAGTTTTTTTTTTTACCTGATGTGTGCCTGGAACCTGTTGACTTAAGGTTGTTTGAGTGGGTGGTGGTCGATGTGCCTGAACTAAGCAACACACCAATCTTTCCATTATGAAATTATTAATGATACTGTTTGTTACGCTGTTTTTTGGCCTGCTATCCTGTAAGCAGGGCGTCATGAAATGATCCTCACTTGCTTGAGTTGCTTCTTGACACCATAAGAAGGCGATCCATCTGTTTCCAGTTGTACACAGAAAACTAGTGTCTTGAAAGATAAGGTGAGCTTGCTTGTGTTCTTTTGATGATTCCTTACTTATTAGTGGCATCTACATTTTCTGAACCCTTAAAAGGTTGGTTGAGTGTGAGGTCAGGATACTATATTGCTACCTACTTTTGATTGTACAGAATGGTAAGGGGGGCGATAGGTGTCCTAAGATGAAACTGCGGTTGCATCTGTTCGTCCTGTGCGTGATAATCATATTCCTGGTGTACAACATGGCTAACTTTCAACATAAGCAGACATCGGTAACAATCAATATCCCCTGGTTTATTGTATAATAACAGAGTTCTCTGAACATAAAAGATTAATCTGATGTGATTATGCAACTTTACAGTTGGAAGCAAAATCTCATCCATTTGATACAGTGACGGTATGTGAACACATTTCCTTCCATCAAAAGTCACAAGATTTGTTTTTCCCCCTATTAACCAGAGGCAGATTTTCCTCTGTTGCTAAGATATGATTTGCACCTCCAATGTAAATATCAGGTGTCTGACAGAGACGTTGTTAAGGTGCCTCAAAAAGCGGAGGCTAGGATTGGTTATTTACCCCATGGTATAGTGGAGTCCAACTCCGACATGGAGTTGAAGCCATTGTGGCTGACAAGTGCGCAGTCAAAGGTTAGTTAAGTACAATATATACCTGAAGAACTTTGATTCCAGTACAATATTTCTGTTGGTTTCACTTTTCAAACTCAACAAGCATTAGCTGTTCCCACCTCATAACTACAGAATCTTATTTGTTTAGTTATTTAATGCTCTGTGGGTGTTTTGTCCTAGCAGAAGTCTAAACAAAGTGATCAGTTTTTTATTGCTATTGCTGCCGGTATAAATCAGAAAAAAAGTGTGGACGCTATTATGAAGAAGGTACTTTATTTACACCTCTGTAAGCGGTAATTTGCACGTAAAATTGTCATGTGACTCTTGATTATTCAGTTTCTTCCAGAAAATTTTACAGCTATATTGTTCCATTATGATGGGAATGTCAATGGGTGGAATGATCTACCATGGAGCAAAAGTGTGATACATATAGCTGCTTCTAACCAGACTAAATGGTATGGTATCTCCTCCTTTGCACTGAAATTCGGCATGCCTTGTCTCTCATTTTAGCTTCAAGATAAGATGACAAGGTATCTGTTTTTATAGGTGGTTTGCAAAGAGGTTCCTCCATCCTTCTGTTGTGTCCATGTACCAGTACATCTTTCTTTGGGATGAAGATCTGGAAGTTGATAACTTTAACCCGAGAAGGTATTGTGTAATTGTATTACATGGTACCAACCTTATGTTGTCAAACTTATCATTGCCTAGCAACAAAAAAAAAAGAGTAAAGATGTACACATCAGAGTTCTGTTTATTGAACTTTTAAACCATGGTTCAGGCAACTACTAGTATAAAATGACAGTTTTCTGGATGTTTCTGCTGCCAGTGCCAGCCTGCCATGTATGTGCTAGGCGGCAAACAATTTCTTGAAAATAAAGGGGCGTACCCAGTGCAGAGAGCTCTCGCTCTGTGCGGGGTCTGGGGAAGGGTGTTAGTGGCAAGCCTTACCATCGCTTGTGCAATGCGAGGAGACCGCGACTCGAACCCGGGACCTTCCGGTCACAGGCGGTAAGACTCTACCGCTTGCACCAGGCCCGCCCTTCAAACAATTTCTTGAAAATATCCAGCTTAATTTTGTGTTCTATATAAGAGAAATCTGTGAAGAAACGGCATATTATGCTATCCCCCTCCACACACAAATGCGCGCGCGCACACACCAAATGTGTTTGTTTGATCTTTCCATTCTCTGCACCAATTTAGCTAATGCATTGATTCCTTTCAGATACTTAAATATAGTTAGATCAGAAGGGCTGGAGATATCACAACCAGGTCTTGACTCTAAGCTTTCTGAAATTCATCACCGGATAACTGTTCGTAAAAAAACAGGGACCTTTCATAGGTAAGTTCATGTAGTGCAACTTTTATTTTGGAAATGTGTGGTTACATCATAACTAAATCAAACACGATGTGTATTTTGACAGAAGAGTTAGCCGGGCTAACAAACAGTGTTCAAGAGAAGGACCGCCTTGTTCTGGGTATTTCTTTCTTGAACCCTTCCTTATGCTACAACAGAATTGCTGATTAGCTCTTGACATTTTTACCGCATGATCGATTTTCACCAGAATTGTCTTACTATTTACCAACCATGGTATATGCATATGACAAATATGATTGAGAGCCGTGCATGACATGATAATTGTTTGTTTGATCTATAGATGGGTCGAGGGCATGGCGCCTGTTTTCTCAAAGTCTGCTTGGCCATGTGTGTGGCATCTTATCCAGGTAGACTTTATCTTCATATGATTTCTTAACCATGTTCTGTATTTGAACTTCTATTGTACCAGACAATATGACTGTTTTCCTTTCAGTGATCCACAAGTTCTGAGCATGAATTGTACAATATGGTGTAGCATTAGATGTCCATGTGTATCGTATTCCTATTTTGGAATTTGGAGTCGGGGAATACTTGGAACATGCGTAACCGTGAGTAACCATGCTGAGAAAAGCAGGGGTGGAAACCCAAACAGGCAAAGCTAATACAATTTTTAACCTGGGCTTAGTGTTGAGTCTTCACATTTTGTTTCTTTCTGATATGTGTGATGTCTTTATATTTTGCTTCTTTCTGAAATAATATGGAGTGCAGAAGCAATAGATATATACAAGCTAGGAGCTAACTACTTGTCTCATTGGCTATAATATATTTTTTGATTTATAATATTCACAAATCACAAGGTCAGTTTTGACGCTACATTCGTCAACATTTTGTGTCATTACTTGTGGATAATTCTTGAATTAGATTCATGTTATTTCTGTGTATTATGGTCCTCTAGCTGAGTTGGTTAGGTGGCTTGAGTAACACTCCTCAGGTCCTTGGTTCGACTCCCCGTGGGAGCGAATTTTCAGGCTAGGGTTAAAAAAATCTCGTCTGTCCCATGGCAAAGCACAGGTCTAAGGCCCAGCCCCGATCGTGGTCGTTCTCACATGGGCTATGGTGCTGCTGTGTATGGGTGGGGAAGGGGTTTGAGGGTTTTCTCGACCTTCTTAATGCAATGCTTGAGGGCTGTCTTACCCCCGTAGGTTGAGTGTTTTTATGGTCCTAGTTTTATAGGTGTTTATGAACTCACTACAGTGCCTTCACATACCTTCATTGCTCCACACATTGTCACTGCTGCATTTGTCAGGGACACAGGCAAATATGAGTCCACATTAGTTCATAGGTCTTTAAGCTGTTTTTGAAAAAAAAAGTACTTTATGTGATAATCTCCTTTGTCTTTTATGGTTTTACCTGATTGATTTTTGTGGAGTATTCTAGATATTAATATATCTACATTGTATTTATACAGAATGATCTTATCCATGGATGGGGTATCGATTACAAGTTTGGATATTGTGCTCAGGTTTGATAAAAATGTTGTTCAAGTAACTGTGGCATGCCTTATAATTTAAGTCCATCTAAAGCACAAAGTATTGAAAGTTTTTCGTTTGACCTTTGTCCATGCAAAAAAGTGTTTATTTTAAATTATATATTATGATCAGTATTCCCAAGAAAAATCATATAGCACTATTTTCCATCTGTTCAATTAATATAATTTTTGTATGGTAATCTATTGAAAGTTATCGTTTTTTGCCCGAGGTGATATATAAAGGAATAGAAACATTTGTACCTCTTTATGCTCTTATGCATCTTGCATCTTTTAACATAGTCATTCTGAGTTCATGACCTCATTGTCCAAGCAAACTTTGTCTTCTTTTTAGTAAAGACTTGAAATAAAAGTTCTCTTTTTCAACAAAAAAAATAAAAGTTTTTTCCTTAAACTGATTTCAGGGTGACAGGACAAAGAACATCGGCGTAGTTGATAGTGAATTTATAGTTCACCGAGGAGTGCAGACATTAGGAGGTTCTACAGTATCAAAGGTTTGTCTTAACTCCTGTTTTGTTGCTGCAAGTTAGAACCTTGGTGTTTCCTGCAACTCTTGCATACAAAACATGGTTATGTCTAAGAACAATAGATCATGGCAATATTTTTCAGTACATTCCATGAATTTGAGCTGCGCATCCTAATGCAATAATACGCAAGCTTTTGTGTGTTCTCAGAGAGAGAAAAAAAGTGGTTCATCTGCACTTGTGCATAATTCATACAATCCTTAATTAAGTTTTTTTTTGTGAGAACAAAAGCCCTTTGTTTCCTCATAAAACTGGTTAGATGCCATCAAACTTCTGTATTTCTGTTATGGGAGTATTGGAAATGGGGTTGACCTCAGTTAAGAAAAGCCCTGTCATAATAAAAAAAAAACTCGACCCACGGGGGTAAGACAGCCTCCGGCATTCTACTTAAGATAGAAGGTAACCTTCTCACGCAGGCCGAGAAAACCCCCGAAACTGCCCCACCCATATACAGCAGCACCATCACCTATGTGAGAACCTGAGCTGGTTCTTAGACCTATGTTTTGGCGTGTGACAGATAAGGGGATTTTTTAACCCCATCAGTTCGCTCCCGAGAGTTACTAGAGCCATCTATCTAGTTCGGCTAGAGTCAATTGATATTTTATGAGGTAAAGTTATTATGGGAACTAGGAACTTTGTATCTTTCGCTTGCAATGGAAATGTCTTTTGATAATACTATGCCTTCTATCTGTATATTATGAATGTTCTTTGTTGGTGTGCAAATTAATGTTAAATGTTTCCTCTGTTTTTCGTTTTAAATTCTGGAAGGATGGTACTCGTGGCAAAAATGCCCAGCCACTTCGTCAGAAAGCAGCTCAAGTCCAAAAAACGAGAGTATGTTCTGTGTGCCTGACCTTAAAGAAAAGTTTGATGCATACTACGTATGTTGCTGTATTTTATTCTGCGACCTTGACACCTTTTATGATTTACCAGGGGAAGGCACCAGGCCTTGATATGCGAACAAAGGTGAGCTAACAAAGCATTTGGTATACTGTACATCGTTTCAAGTGTCTAAGTCGAAAAATGTCGGTGGAAGCTGAAAATTCAGATTTCAAAACCCTGTCACTTCACTTGATTAGTTTATTTTTACGGGAAAACACATGAAATAAAAAAAAACTCAACCCGTGGGGGTAAGACAGCCCCAGGCATTGTGTTTAAGAAGAAGACCTTCTCACGCAGGTCGAGAAAACCTCGAACCTCTGCCCCACCCATACACAGCGGCACCGTAGCTCCCGTAAGACTAGGCTAACCTTAGACCTGTGCTTTGGCGTGGGGCAGACGAGGGGATTTTTTTCAACCCGCAGATAAACTGCGCCTCCTCCGACCAACAAATTCGTCCCTGAGGGGATTCGAACTCTGACCGATAGGGTGCAAAGCGCACAGCCAGACCAACTGGTCTAGCCTTCGCTGGGCCTATTTTTTTTTATTTCCCTTCAGTTGACAATAACAGCGCAATAATCAGCTCTAGCTATCCAGATTATGCAACGCATCAGAATTTGCATGCCATTAATCGATCAGTCCTCACAGTTTGCCACAAACATTGTTTCGACCTTTGCAGATCCGGAGAAAATCACGATCGGAGCTTCGTGATTTCCAGAAGCGCTGGGACCGGGCTGCAAGGGAAGACAGAACATGGGTTGATCCGTTTGCCCGCTCCCGAAGAAAGCGGAGGAATAGAAACAACCCACAATAGATCAGCATAATCTTTACTATTACACTTGCACAAAATTCCATTTGCACCTTCGATTTTCATAGAGTGTATAATTGAATAATCAACGCTCGCAAGGACGAAACGAAACAGATGACCACACACGTGAAATTTTGCGGGGCAGCGAGTTCCCAGTGGAAGCTGTTGGTTCAGGCTCCCTGTATCTGAAACTGAATGTCATACACTCATACTGACGAACTAGTTTGTGTTCCTAATCACTCAACTGGGACTCTGCTTTCGAAGAGCGTGGGCAGTGAGTACAGCCGTAGCATAAAAACAGAGGTACCCACGCATTAGCAATGAAAATTAGTGGCCCGATTGCTGATTGTAAGCCATGGGGGGCAAACAAACAGGCCCCGAGTCCAGTGGTATTTTTGTCGTTGGCTACTTGGCTAAACTCTGCATGTTGCTACCCTGTGACTGCCTTCGGAAACAAAACTCAGCACAGCGAAATGTCTGATCGTGCCTGGGTTGTTGACTGTCACGCACGAGCGAGGAAAACAGAAGTGACGGACATGTCGCACGTCCTCGCAGTTTGTCGCCGCGTCGTGTTCTTCAGGGACAGGGACAGTTCATCCAAATCGCTGTTTGGTAATTCTTGAAACAGGGCGTCCGTTCGTGCCGGACGCTTCGAATGGTGAGTCGTGTGAGCCGGTCCAACTACCGCCTCTAAAAAGAAGAGGCCGAAGCGATGTCTGGTGTGGCTTTATCATTTGAGCGAGTTAGTCTCATCAATTATTTACTAAGCCAGGAGGTGTGCGAGATTTTGCTTAAAAAAAGAGGTGGGCGAGATGCTGACCCAAACCCAGCTCACCAGAGTAACTGCTGTGGCGATTCGGAGATTCAGTGGTGGTGGCATGGGGTCAGCGATGCAGCTGCAAAGGCAACGACATCCACCTTGCGCATGGCAGCCCATCTCCGTTCCCCAACGCCGCGACGTTAGGGATCTGCTACGCTTCCGGCGTCCGGCTGCTGACTTGCGGCCTTTCTGCACTCTTGCGGCCCGCACCTCCAACAACCACTGCGCTTCACGCGTTCAGCTGTCGGCGCGCAAGCAAGGCGACGGCAGCTCCGAGGCCGGCGCACATGGGAGGCAAAGGTACCTCCGGAGGCCCGCGTGCGAGCGGCGCGTGGGAGACGAGCATGGCGACGGAGACCCGCGTCGCCGCGACAAAAGGCAAGGGTGGCTATGGCATGGAGCTGGTAATCCGCCGCGGCCTTCTAGAGCGTGTGGACCTGCAGCGGCCTTCTCCACCGAACTTGTCGCGGCCTTCTCTACCAGAGAGGTGAGAACTATGCCACTAGCGAGCTCTACACCGGTGCCACTTGCAGCATATGTTTCAAGTGTTTCAGAAGAATGTTTTATGCGGATGTTGCAAAAGTAGATCGCGATGTTACACATGTTGCAATAGTTATACACGTATGTTGCAAGCTTCTGTTTCCAATGTTTCATTCGTATTTTTTTCAACGTATGTTACAAGTGTGTTTATTTCGATGTTGCATATGTGTTCACGCTTATGTTGCAGGTGTTTTATCTGGATGTTACGTATGTTTTGCAATGGCTTTCAAGTGTTTTTCATGTATTTTTGTAAGTGTTTTAGATGCATGTTTCAAAGTGTTTCATCTATCTTTGGGCGTATCTTGCAATTATTGCATCTGGATGTTTCAAAAGTAGATTGGGTGTTGCATCTTCTTCCTCGCTTTCTGCTGCCTTCCTCTGCGTCTCCTCCTCCTCCCGACGTCGACTGGGCATCCACCGCCCCCTCCCCCTCTTTCTCGATGCTGGTGACGTTCGGGGCGACGTGGACCGCATGTAGGCGCGCAAAACAGCATGAGAAACGGCTGCAGGCGTGAGCGTCCGGACGTACGGCCGCTAGCAAGCTCCATCGCTGTTGCAGCACCAAATAGGCATTGAGACCATGGCCCCTCAAAGTTCCATCAAACTTGTTATGGTCCTTGCACGACAATCGTGTGTTTTCCTCGTGTAAACGAAAACAGAGCCGTACTCTGTTCCTCTTTTTCTCTCCCCCGGAATTAGGTATCCACCCAGCTTCGTAATTGACTTATCCAGCAGCAATTTGTTTACCCCATGCCGCGTCATCGCCTGTGTGTAAGCGTATTGACGCTTAAAATGCTACTAGTACTCATCGTCACAACTCACAAGAACAAAACACAGCTATCACTAAAATAGGGGAAAGAAGATTAAAAGACGAGGTTATATAATCTATGTATATTTTTATCTATATAATCTTTTGTAAAGCAAAACCTCACTACAAGTCTAAAGTTGCTCCATCGTTGAGCCCCATAATCAAAATAACTGTAGCAGTACAATTTTTGCTTCACATGTTTTAACGCTCATTCACTCACTCCATGCGACCAATCGCACTCCACCAAGGAATCAATACTTCGTTCGTTTTGTTTTATAAGTCCATTCCTATGATGAAATGAAACAAAATCCATGGTGCATAGTGTCATGTCTAAATATCTAAATGTTGTATGTTGTTTTGCGACGAAATTGTCGGTGTTTCGAGTAAACACCAACGAGTAAATTTGTGTTATTACGCGTCTGGCCCGGATGGTGTGCTAAAAAGATATAAGGTTTATACTGGTTCGGGCAGAATGTCCCTACGTCCAGTTCATAGCTGCTGCTCGTGTTATTAGCACTGAAAAGTTCGTAGTAGGGGTTACAAACAGGCGAGAGAGGGACAAGTCCCAAATTTTGATGGAAAGGTCGAATGAGTACCGAGAGCTTGGTTGTTGCTCAGCTACGTGTGATGTGATGTGTGATGTGTTTTTTATCCCCTTTGTGGGGTGCTCTCGGTACAGATGGGAGAAAAGAGAAAAACGAAAGGCAAAGGAAGTACTTCAAGGATGCCGGGTCTTTCCTTTTCCTCTATGCGGGCCCCCTGACATGGCAGAGCGGTGATGGGGACAACCCCACACTGGGCGAATGTCTGCTGACCCTAACAAGGCCATGCTGAGTGTTTACCCGCTGATGATGCCATGTCCTGGCATTATCAGCGAGTTGTCACGTCCCATCCTGCCCCGGCGGGAGGCGCGACGGACCAAGGTGCTGATCCGCGGCCACACAAGGAGCAAACGACGTAGTGATCGCACGTCCGTTACTGTAGGTGATGCGAGTTTTCTCCTGGACCATAGTGGTTGTCGTGAGCTTCCGTCGGGATCCGTGCCCGAGGGCAAATGTCGGCGCCCACAACACTGTGAGGAAAATGTCGGCGCCTACAACACTGTTTTGGGCTCTGACATGCCTGAAAGATTGCAAAGCGCCCTTCTTATCATATCATGACAGTACTTTCCTACAGGCGTGCAGGGTACGGTCCTCGGTATTGCGGTTGACTTGAGCATCTTGCCTTATCTGCTCCGCCTGATTCCTGGGTCGGTATCGTGGTAATGTCGTCATAGGCGTCGGGCGAGGCGGAGCCAGCCCTCGAGGGTCGGGCGAGACGGAGTCTGCCCTCAGACGTCGGGCGAGGCGGAGCCAGCTCTTAGGGGTCGGGCGAGATGGAGTCTGCCCTCAGACGTCGGGCGAGGCGGAGCTAGCCCTCGGGGGTTGGGTGAGATGGAGTCTGCCCTCAGACGTTGGGCGAGGCGGAGCTCGACAAGCGGTGTAGTCGCGCTCTTGGTCGCGCAGATGAATCAATGTTGATGGTCATTAGCTCCTCCTCTTCGGGTACCCTAATATTGGTCCCCGACAGTAGCCCTCGAGCCCCCGGACGATTCGAGCAGAATTACCTGGGGGATTTTTTTACTTGCCAGCGGGTGCACGCGAGCGCACCCGGTGGGTGTAGCCCCTGAGCCTGCGGAGGAGTAGGATACTCCTTCAGAGGTTTTTTCGAAAGAGAGGATTCTGAGAGCCCTGGCCCTCTTTTGTTGCCCACGGCGTGTCCTAAAGATGATGATTTCTTCTCGCCAACGTCGGACCCTTCGCAGGTATGGTCGTGGGATTTGGTGGTTGTTTAGCTGTATAGTTTGATTGGGGTCCTGGTATCCCGTTCACGGGGATCCAATCAGGGTAAGCCTGACTAAGACTTAATCGTGGGCCGAGATGCCCATGGCGCTTGTGTGCATGGGTGTTGGCCATTTGCGGGCCCCAGGTCTTTCCACCCTTTGTCGTAGGGGTGTTTGGAGCGACTGTTGAACCCATTGATGGGCCAACCATCGGACTCCTATTGCCAAATGGGCCGTAGATGCGCTTTTGATCCATATTCCTCTTACTCGTGATGAGTCTCGGTCCGCCCGGGGAGGCGAAACGTCCACCGAGTTTCCCAAAGGAAAGGATAGGGATTGCGTGCACGTATCCCATGGCGTGACGTTGTGGCAGATCGTAGGAGGCGTGGAGATCTAGGCGGACGGTTGGTTTCCTCGCATCCGTCGCCCCTATAAAACCAAAAGGTTCGCCCCCAGGGTTTCATACTTTGCCTCTTTGCCTTCGCATCTGCCACCTTCACTACCAATCGCCTAAGCTCCCCGTATCCGTGTCTTAGCCGTCGTCAAGTTCGCATCCACCCACCCCCATCTTCCAATGGAGCCGCGGTGCCGCTCTGAAATCACCCTCCAGCGCCTAGAGGACCTTGTCCACCGCGGTCTTCTCTGCGCGTGGACCGCCGCCGAGGAGTGACGGCTGCCCGGCAAGGAGGACGTGCCGTCGCCACCCGATGGCTACGTCGTCTTGTTCGCGCACTTCCACGAGCGCGGGTTCGCTATCCCTGCCCACAGATTCCTTCGAGGACTGCTGCACTATTACAAGATAGAGTTGCAGCACCTCAACCCCAATGGGATCCCACACATGGCGGCGTTCGTCGCCCTGTGCGAGGGATTCCTGGGGATCAGCCCTACTTTGATCTGTGGTGGCACTTCTTCACCGTCACCCTCCAGAAGAAGAGGGAGAAGAGGCAGGAGTTGAATATGCCAATGGGATGCGCCGGCATCTAGCTTCAAAATAACCGGGTCGGTGACTACCCGAC